AGGCGGATGATGCTAATTTCGAGAGTGCATCTGCCTGGTTGTTTTCTGATCTCGGTACTTGGATCAGATGGAAATCCTCAAGGGAGCCGACTGCTTGTCGGACCGCCTGTAAATATTTGATCATGGCCGGATGTGTTGCTTCGTATTCGCCATTGTACTGACTCACTATCAGTTGTGAATCAGAACAGGCGTCTATTTTCCTTGCCCCGGCCGCCTTACACATGCGGATCCCGGCTAGTAAAGCTTCATATTCTGCCTCATTGTTTGAAGCCTGGAAACTGAAGCGTAGAGCATACTCGAACCTGTCGCCCTCTGGAGATTGACATACGACGCCTGCTCCACAACCGTTTGAAGTAGAGCTTCCGTCCACATATACCTTCCAGACTTGGTCTGGAACTTGAGAGTCAGGAGGACGAGTCATCTCTACAATAAAGTCAGCAAAGGCTTGCCCCTTCACTGCTTTTCTAGGCTCGAAAGTAACTTCGAGACTCTGCATTTCTATGGCCCATTTGATCATTCGTCCGGAGGACTCCATGGTGGTAAGGGGCCGCTTGATCGGTTGGTCGGTATACACGACGACTGCATGTGCCAGAAAGTAGGGCTTCAATTTTTTAACAGCCATGAAGAGTGCAAGACCAAATTTCTCCACTAGGGGATACCTCAACTCGGCATTTTTCAGTACGTGACTGACAAAGTAGACCGGAAGTTGACAGCCGTCCCTTTCAGCAAGGAGCACCGCGCTTAACGCATGATCAGAGACGGCCAGGTACATGTAGAGATTTTCTTTGGGCAAAGGGCTGACCAGCCTTGGCAAGGAATGCAAGTGAACCTTTAATTTCTGGAAGGCGGCCTCAGCATCCGGCCCCCATTCAAACCTTGCCTTTTTCTTAATTGCCTGGAAAAAGTATAGGCATTTGTCGCCTGATCGGCTTAGAAATCTTCCCAAGGCCGCCAGACAACCTGTTAACTTCTGAACCTCTCGGACGGTACGAGGCGACTGCATGTCAATGACCGCCTGTACCTTCTCAGGGTTCGCCTCTATTCCTCTCTGGTTGATAAGGAATCCGAGAAATTTCCCAGACTCAACTCCAAATACACATTTCTTGGGATTGAGCATGACATGGTGCCGCCTGAGTGTGGCGAAAGTTTCTCGGAGGTCCGTCAGATGATCTTTCTGAAGTTTAGTCTTAACAATCATATCATCAATGTATGCCTCGACGTTTCTCCCAATCTGATCAAAGAACACTGTGTTTATCATTCGTTGGAATGTAGCCGGGGCATTCTTAAGACCAAACGGCATGACCGTATAACAGTATAATCCCTGATCAGTGACGAAGGCCGTCTTCTCCTGATCTTTCTTCCACAAGGGAATTTGATGAAAACCAGAATAGGCGTCCATAAAACTCATCAAGGCATGGCCGGCTGTTGAGTCGACCAGGTTATCAATTTTTGGCAGAGGGTAACTGTCTTTGGGGCACGCCTTGTTCAAGTCTGTGTAGTCTACACACATTCGCCAGGTGCCATTCGGCTTTTTAACAAGTACCACATTTGCAACCCAATCTGGGAAGTAACATTGCCGAATGAACCCTGCATCAAGTAATTTTTTGACTTCGGCGGCGGCCGCCTGACCTCTTTCTTCACCCTGGTTCCGCTTCTTTTGCCGTACCGGCTTCTTTTTCGGATCCACAGCGAGTTTGTGTACTGCCAGATCAGGACTAATGCCTGGCATTTCATGGACTTCAAATGCAAAGATGTCCTTGTATTCTTTCAACAGGTTGTGAAAGTCATCACCAAGGTTTCCCAGAGCAGTCGTCCCAACTTTGACTGTTCGGTCAGGGCGGGAGTCGTCTAATATCAGGTCCGTATGCTCACCAGCCGGCTGAGGGCGGAACTCATCCGGCCGGTCCTCTGCCAATGATTGCTATTTTCTTGCCTTTCTGGCGGACTCTGTCTGGGACGCCTTTCTTTTTCTGTCGCCTGTTTCTTGAACAGGCGCACTTTCCTTGACATTGTCAAGGTCTGTTTTTTCTCCACTTGACCCAGTGGCCTTAGCAGTGGGTTTGACATCCGAGAGATAGCACTCTCGGGCCATCCTCTGATCTCCCCTTAGGGAGCCGACTGTTCCATTGTCCCTTTCAAACTTAAGCAGCATAAGTGACGGGATTATAACAGCCTTGGCACTATTCAGGGTTGGGCGACCCAGAATCATGTTGTAGGCAGAGAGTTCCTCTACAACTAGGAATCGGACTACCATGTGTCGTCCTTCCCCTTTTTCGCCCAGGCGGACGGGTAGATCAACTCGTCCCAGTGGGTGGACGACTCCTCCTCCAAACCCTATTAAAGGGTGGGAGGCCGGATGTATGCAGTCCGTCTGATATTTCAGTTTTGACAGACATTTGCTGCTGATGAGATCTGAAGAGCTCCCAGTATCTATGAGGATTCGACCAACTCTCTGGTTGGCCACTTTACATTCAATAACGAGAGGGTCGTCATGCGGCCCCCTTATTCCTCCTAGATCCTCTTCAGTGATGACAATCTCAGGAAATGTATATTTGGACGGTCGTTCTTGGTGAACAGAATTTACATCTAACCGCCTTATATTATCTTTGTTGCCCCTAATAGTGGGGCCGCCTCCTGAGAAGCCGCCTGCAATGGTGTAGACGACTGCATCATCTGTATCGGAACTGTCGGCCTGTTGATTCTTTTTGGCCGACTGCTTTTTTGAGGAAGTATTCCCCGTAGATTTCTTGACATAAGTGTCAAGATCACCTTGATCAGCCAAGCGGTCTAGGTACCGCATGAGACTAATGCAGTCGTTGGTGTGATGACCAATGTCATCATGATAAGCACAGATTTTGTCTTGGTTCCGGTTGCTCGCAGAACCCTTCATGGGGAGCGGTTTCTCAATTGAGAGCCGTCCCTTTATTTCTTTTAGGATAAACTGGTTATCCTTGTTAAACACATACTTTGGGGAGTATGGTTTGAATTCCTTTTTCTTCTTGGCCGGCTGTTTAGAGGAATCAGCCGCCCAGACCCCTTTTCTTTTTTCATCTTTGTTGGACGACTGTTTCTGTCGTCCTTCTCTATTGTCGAACCTCTTCCCGTCCGACTGTTTCATTGTACACAGATCAGTCGCCTGTATATAGGCTTCTGCTTCAATCAAGGCCTCTTGAAGAGTCGCCACCCTTTTTCGAACTAAATCAAATTTGAAGGTAGACCCGTCTTTGAGACCTCTAAAAAAGTCAGTATAAGCTACCTCATCCGGTAACCCTTGAATCTGTATTCTCATCAGGTTGAACCGCCTGATGTAGGAACGAAGCCCCTCCTTTTCACCCTGCTGAATTGTTCCCAAATCAAGGGTCGTTTTCTTCGCAGGGATGTTCATTGCAAAGTTGGAGGCAAATAAGTAAGCAAGCGTCCTGAAACTGTTTACACAACCAGTCGGCAGGTTGCCGAACCATTGCTGTGCAATTCCCTTGAGAGTTGCTGGGAAACACTTGCACCAAGTGGGATCATCCAACCCTTGAAGGTACATCAGGTTGGTGAATGCCATCAGATGGTCTTCTGGGTTAGTAGTGCCATCATAGGCGCCTACTAAAACATTTTTTACTTTGGCCGGCTGAGCGGCTTCAGTAATTTCCTTGGAGAAGGCCGACGGCTGTTCACCAAGTCTAAGCAGCCGTAGCTGCCAGTCCATAGGTTGGACGTTTTTTGCTGCAGGTCCACCAAATGGAGGTGGCTGCATAAAATATTGTTGTTGCGGCACAAATGGCAAATTTGGTACCGCCTGCGCACTATGAAAGCCAGACTGTCGGGAGGTGCCGCCTGACTGACTCTCATGGTACGACTGAGTTGGCCTCATCGAGGCATTTCGCAAACTGTCCTGAAAATTTGAAGTAGAAGCCGACTCTGATAATCGGTCACTCCTCTTCTGCTCTAGCAGGTGCCGAGCATCTGTGAACGTTTGCTTTGACCCGTCCGCCTGAATATGACGAACCGGTTTCCTATTTCCCGTAGGATAACGGAGTTTTGTGAAATCAAGAGCAGACGGCTCCCGCTTCTTAGATTTAGGATGGGGAGTCGCCTCTCGCCCTTGAACTGGCTTCCTCTTCAGTGAAGTGGAAGGTTTTTTGGCCGCCTGCTCTTTGACTGAAGCAGGCGGTTTTTTGTTGATCAACTCTTGGATCTCTCCCTTGAATCCCCTCATGAAGGTCATGAGTTCGTTCCTTGTGATGGGAGCAGACCCATCAGTCGGCTGTTGCCGAGCAAGCGGTGCGCCTGCTGGCTCGCTTCCTGTTTGAAGATACTCCCGTTCCCTTATTTCAGTATGACGGGTACGGCGGGCTCTTAGGGTCCCGTCTGGAGCTGTATGAGTTTCAACTTCAAATTCACTTTCGGTATCATGGTCCGACTGAACTTGAGGGTCGTCTAGGGGACGCCTCTCTTCTGGGGTCGGTACAGACTTGGATGCCATCTCTGAAGTACTCTCCCCACAGACGGCGCCAAATGTTTCGGGGTTTTCTGATGTCCTGCGGGAGAGTTACAATTCCGAGACTGGAACCGGACGCCTGTACCTGCAAAATAACGGAGACTCCTGAGAGCTCCGCCTCCAACGGTCAAGTTAGTACCTGATTAAGGAGTAATTAATACAGAAATTAAAGTAATAAGGTCTCTCTAGGTGAGAGTATTTAATGTAGGTAATCTGCTTTGCTAGCGAGATCAGCCGGTTATTAGTGTGTTCTGTCAATTATTCGGTCCCTTGATTAATGAGGATTAATCGAGTATTTATAGCCTTGGGAAGCGTGCAACTCTCTAGGTTTAAGGTAAACCTAGGGCCGAACGGGCTTCTAGACTGAAATGGGCCTTGATGGCCGGTTGTCCCATTTGGCATGGGTGGACACGTGGCGTGTCTTAAGTGGTCCGTGGAGGACGCGTGGCGGAACCTGGTTGGTCCACTTGTCAAACGGCGCTTGGTGGATAAAAATCCCCTAATCAACCTCCATCACCCAAAAACTGATCATATTCATATTTATACTCACCTTTCTCTCTCATCTAATCCATTAGACCATTACAATGGCATCCGAATCAGACTTACCAGAGCTAGGACTCTCACAAGGAGGTCCAACATGGAACCATCTCACAGGGTCCAACAACTGGGAAGGTCTTCTAGACCCACTCAACGACGATCTCCGTCGTCTGATCCTTCGTTGTGGCGACTTCTGTCAAGTAACCTACGACACCTTCATCAACGACCCTAACTCCGCCTACTGCGGTGCTAGTCGCTACGCTAAGTCAGACCTTTTACAGAAAACCTGTTTTCCTGGTGGTGCTGATAAGTTTCAGGTTGTTGGGTTTTTGTATGCCACTGCACGTGTTGGTGTGCCTGAGTCGTTTTTGCTGAAGTCGAGATCACGTGAGAAGTGGGATAGGGAGTCGAATTGGATCGGATACGTCGTCGTATCGAATGATGAGGTGAGTAAGGAGAGTGGAAGGAGAGAGATTTATGTGGCGTGGAGAGGGACAATTAGAGATTATGAGTGGGTTGATGTTCTCGGTGCTAAACTTCAGTCTGCTAAACCTTTGCTCAGTGATCAAGATGATGATGCTCCTGCTGGTATGAGTTTTTGTGCTACTTTCCTGTTTTTAAAAGTTTGTTTTAATTTACTATGTATTTGTTTAAGTTATTGTTTCTTATTTATGATCTTGGAATAGTTAAAAACAATGGCTAAAATAAAAAAAATAAGAAAACAATATATAAGATGATAAGAGGGACATATAAAAATTTAAAAGGGGAACGAGTAAATAAAATAAATCTTTAATTATAATAATTGACACATAAATTTACATTGTATTTCTAAATTAATATCATGTTGGAAAGTTATTAAATACAGTATGTTATTTGCAACCCTAAGTTAAAGGCTTGATATATTATTACTCTAATCTCTAATTAAAGTATTTCCCTCCGTTTTTTTTAGTTAACACGTATTTCTTTTTGGAAGTTTATTTTTAGTTGACACGTTTTTTTAGTTTTTTTATTTCTTTTTTTTTAGGGGTAAGTTTTATACCTTGCATTTACTAAAGTACCTCCACTTGCTTTATCATTCTCTCTCCTATCCTTAATATGTGTGTCTAAATTGAACGTGTCAACTAAATAGAAACGAAGGAAGTATTTAATTTTTTGAGCTTGGGAATTTGGATTAGTTCCAATAAAATTGTTAAAGGTGTAAACACTTAGTTAGGATTGGAGGAATTTTAAAGGGAGGAATGTTATGTATTTGTAAATACATAACAATGATTAAAATATTCTAAAAATACATGATAGAGAGAAAAAAAAAGAGGAGAGAGATAGGAAGAGAGAGGTCTGTAGGTGGACCCCACCTATTTTTTGGTCAAATTATTTCATGTGATGAGAGATCAAATGCTGATTGTTCCATTGAAAGCTTATATGGTACCATTGAATCTTTAGTGGTACTATTTATGCATAAATTTAGTACAACTGAATGCATATATAATACCACTATATATATATATATATATATATATATATATATTTATATATATATATATATATATATATATATATATATATATATATAGTGTCACCGTATGTTCAGTGTATTATTGATCATCCAATGATACCAAAATATGCATTAGTTTGTACATATGTGTAATTACATGAATGCCCCTTGTTATGCATTTCTACATGCATAACGTTCCTCCCTTTAAAATCCCTCTACATCTTATAACTTTAATTGTAGCACAAATTTATAAACTTCAAATTATAACTTTAATTGTAGGTGATTCTAGGATAATCTTCTAATTATTTGTGGAACTTCGAGAGAGAACTTTAACTATACACGTTTTTGTAAGGGGGTCAACATAAAGTAGATGATTGCAATTGGAGTTTTCGTACTCCGAATAAGTAGTACTCCGTATTTTATTATAATCCTTTAGGACTCAAACTAAGCCCTATTTGTCACCATATGTTTTCACTAGTTCGGTGATAATAATTTCAAAAAACAAAAGAAAAAAAAAGAGAAAGAGAAAAAAAAAACTTACATTTTTTTTCTACAACACCCACTCATAATTATATTTACTCATTTTTTGCCTTTTAAAAAAAAAAAAATATTTACTCTTTTTTTTTTTAACTTTATCTACTTTTTTTTTCTTACATTCACTCATCTTGTAACATTGTCTTCCCCTTAGCTTAATTCTTGTAAAAACGATAAATGTTAAAATCTTATAGTTGTGCTTTTGTACATGCTTTAATTATTACATTTGTAACATCATTGTGTTTATGGAATTGCAGAAGACTTACCATCCAAATTAGTGGATTCAACGGAAACAACAAAAAACGAGGGTACAGGTATATATATTCTATCTAGTAGATCATTCTTTGATAAAACAGAGTTTAATTGTCTTAGTTCTCTTCTATTTCAAACTTTATACTTTGGGTATCGTAATCTATTAACTATTACTAAAACAGAATATGCTTACGTCACCACTGTTTACATGTCGCTCTCTTAATAAAATTTCCCGCCTAAGTGCTAGGATGATATCATCCTTTTTTTTTTTTTTGAGAGCTATCATATTTAATATTTTTTAAATTTAAATATTGCAAGTTTCTACATTACTACTAAAACCTATTACTTTATCCTATGGAATTGAAATAATTTTAAATAGTACACTAATAAATTGTCTCCTACATTGAAATATGTATTAGGTGACGTTGAACCAATTTTATATCATAATTTTGATGAAAATCTAAAATTTTAAAATTACTCATTTTTTTCTTACAAGGTGCATAATTCTTATATAGATTTTATATACATCTTACACACACTAGCGTTGGTTCTAACTTAGTAACTTATGATTTCAATATATCATTAGTTCATCATGACATACACTATGCGTGGTTTTAAATAACTTCAACTACAACATGTTAACACCTTTATTATCCTATTGGCAGGAACAGTTTTTCCTTCATGGATCTTGTCATGTTGTCAACCAACTTCTAAGAAAAATCCAGGTATAATATTAACTTAATAGCCTTAAAATTTCACATAATTTTAAAATATAGTATAGTCTGTATTTAAAATAAGATCGAAAGAGGATGATTAAAATATAGGTGAAATATGCTACTAAGCTAAGCTTAGTCTAGTGGAAAAGGAGAGCATCTTCCAACCACGAGGTTGGAGGTTTAATCCCCATCAGTGACAATTTGAGGGGTGGGATTCCCTTACCTTTCCCCACCCTCCTAAATTGTCTAGTCCTCTAATCTGGGCTGAGTTGATTAGTGAGAAATTTTAGCCCAATAGGGCCCTTCATCTTACTTGCCAATATGTACTTGTATATTATAGTTGAGTTCTACGGATTGATTCTATTTATCAGAAAGTATGGATATTCCTCCATTTTTTTTCTTTTAGTCCAACTCTAACCACATAGTATTCATTTTCTTAAAAAACATAGGTACCAATAATTTTAAAAATGTATTATTATACTTTCCGTCTCAAAATAAAGTACCTTTTCTTAATTAACATGGTCTTCAAGATGTGTCTTAGATCATCAATATCTTAAATTATTAGATATTAACAACAATTATAAAAAAAAAGTTGATAATCTTAGTTATTGAGAGGAATCTTGCGATAACTCATATGACAATGTTTTTTTACTCCCTTGTCCCTTTTCCTTCGTTCCTTTTTGCTTGTCTCATTGAATTAATAATTTTTGGAAAGAGAAACTTTGATTATAAAGAATCTCTAATAAACAGAATATAAGATACAACATTTATTACAATTTTTAATTTATGAATGTTTATCAAACCCACCATTAATGCACATATAAAGTTGTTTGTGACATAGGTAAAGAACGTTTGTTCATGATTAATGAAAGACCTTGTTTCGAGGTGAATTATACTCTACTATTTTGAGTATTGACATTGGCATATTTACTAATAAGCTTACATATGAATCAACACATATATTATCACAATAATTTACTCCGTACTTTGTAATTGAACCATATTTATATAGTATATGTTAGATTATTTGATTTGATTATTTTGTTTCTATCTTATACTGGTATTTTATTAGACAATGCTGATAACGAAGACGATGATGATGACGATGAACCAAAAATCATGGAAGGTTGGCTTACAATATACACATCCGAGGATCCAAAATCTCCCTTTACAAAACTAAGTGCAAGGACACAACTTTTGACTAAGCTTAAACAACTTATTGATCAGTACAAAGATGAAGATATTAGCATTACATTCGCCGGCCATAGTTTAGGTGCAACACTATCAGTCGTAAGTGCTTTCGATGTCGTTGAGAATCTAACCATGGAGATCCCGATTTCGGCTATTGTTTTCGGATGTCCAAAAGTTGGTAACAAGGCCTTCAAGAAAAGATTTGATTCATACCCTAATCTTAAGGTCCTTCATGTTAGAAATATGATCGATTTGATTCCTCTTTATCCTTTCAAACTTTTGGGGTACGTAAATATAGGTATTGACCTAGAGATTGATACGAGGAAATCGAGTTTTCTTAAAGACTCGAAAAATCCTAGTGATTGGCATAACTTGCAAGCTATGTTACATGCTGTGAATGGTTGGAAAGGAGTTAAGGAAGAGTTTAAGCTCGTAATTAAGCGAAGTATTGCATTAGTGAATAAATCATGTGATTTTCTTAAGGAGGAATGTTTAGTGCCTCCATCTTGGTGGGTTGAAAAAAACAAAGGCATGGTATTGAATGAGGATGGAGATTGGGTTTTGGCTAGTCCAGAGGAAGTTCCAACTCCAGAATTTGATTAAGTACATTAGTTTTGCTTGATGATTAATTAATTTTTAGAATTGAGTAGTGTACGTTTTTAATTTTTTTGATATTTGGATGCTTGCATAACATTCATTTTATTTGGTTTTTTTTCTTTTATTGTAACTAGAACTATTTGCATGTAATTTGTGTTTTAAATTTCTACTCGTCTGTACCAACTACCTTAAAAGAGTCGTTAAAATTAAATTTAGGGCAATTTAGATATCTTAAATGGATACCATGATCTCACCTCTTGACTTTATATCGTTTTCAAATATATCGTATATTTAAGTGTTATGTACTAATCTCAAGTCAAGAGGTAAGATCATGGTATCCATATAAAGGCAATTGCCTCTTGACTTATTTGAACTTATTCCGACGTATTGTTAGTAGTGTACTTAATTTTTGTGTCGATCTATTTGAAAACGATGTTAGCCCGGCCCTCAATCGCACACCTTTAGTTCTTGCACTAGTTTTAAGTCCCGTGCAATGCACAGTTTTTATCAATGTTACAATAAATTATAATGTTAGTTCAACAATAGTTTACAGTAAACTAAATAAATTTTTTAAGTGAAGTACGATAAATTGATTTTAATACTTATACCAAAGAATGAAGGGTAACTACTGCATTAAGCCGATTCACTCTATGAAAAATTAAAAGAAATTTAAGAGCTATAGGGCTCTATTTAATAAAGAGAAACACATGTGTGATATAGTGATATACACACATATATATCTCTATCCATATTTTATTAACACACTTTAACAAATAAGGAGTACAATACTTTATTAATTAATTAAGAATACATTATTTTTTTTCTTACATTTGTTGGAAATATAATGGTGGGAAATTTTTGCACCAAATTTTGACATATACTACCTTTTTTTTTTCCGACACATGCTATTATTGATTTGCCTTTTAAGAATAAAAAATTATTGTATATACAATAATACATAATATATATTACCAAAGTGAATTTCTTATTTATTGAAATAAAATGCATTGCCCAAAATCCAAATAATGAAGTTAGAGCAATTAAAAGATAGAATAATGATAATAATACAAAAATATTGAGTAATAATATTATTCTAAAAATATATTGCCTTATCTATGTTCATTTATTTCTAGAACACCTACTTGTAAATTAAATATATAGAAAATATATCAAATCATTTTTTTCCTTATATACTTGAGTGTATATGGAAGCCAATATGACTGTAAAAATGCAAGGGAAATATTTTAAGTTGTGTAATAATTAATGAAGATTTGACCCAAAAAAAAAAGAAAGAGGGAAAATTTTCAACCAGAAGATGACATGTGTCACTTCTGGTTTGCCTTTTAGTATATAGTTATTATTAATTTGTGGATGTGTTTTTGGTTTAAGGTATTACGGTGCTCTTACGTTACTTTATCTAGATCTTGCAAAAAAAAAATAAAAAAAAAATAATAGTTTTAGTTAGCCATTTTTTAAATCAATTTATCCACAATACATACCGTTAGTTCTTGTAATTGTTGTTGGATGAGATACTGTAAAATCAGAACAAATAAGGATTGAAATGTGGGCTTAATTGTTTAATGTATGTATAACGTTGTGACGTGTTAAGAACAATGTCTTAGATTAAAAATTTGCCCCGACTATATATGGTGCAATCGGAGATGGCATTGCTCCCCCAATGTGTTTCAATAGCAACCAAAATATCAGTTTTAAAGAGGAAGAAAATCGTAACCGTTGGAGAGAATCAAGCCACGAAATAATAATGGGGAGAAAAATCAGCGAGATTACAAACGTTTAAAAACCAAGTCAAACATTTTCGCGAGCTTCGTAACTGAACAACCTCATAAAAACTGGACCATTAGTTACGACTTGGCCCAGAAAGGTAGGCACAACACACCGCGCATGTGCCACGAACCGGCCGGACGGCATCGGGTGGCGCACGTGTAGGGATGCCCTCTTTTAGCCCACAACAATAGGGAAAACATTTCAAATATCAAAGCATAAACACACATATTTAAACCAAGTAAAACTTACTTCTCCCACCAATGTGGGACAAACTCATTTTCCTCCAAAATATAAACAAAGTAAAACCTTCCTTATCCCACCAATATGGGACAGAGAGTTTTCCTCCAACACAAATAATTTGTTTCCTGCATTTTTTCCAACAATTGTAATTGGGGCGATGGTTTTTGCTTATCTTGAAAATGAACCTAGATGTGATATGTTATGTCAACATCCAAAGCCTTGAATTTATAATTGAGATTAAGTTTTATACACTTCCTCCATGCTTTTATTATTGTAACATAGAGGTTGGGTTCACTTTTCTTAGTAATGGAAAAAAGAAAGAGAGAAAAGGGTAAAAATACTAAAGTATCCATGTGATTTAAACAAAAATATAGAATCAAGTTTTAAAAGTAATGATATTTTATTGGTATATTGGATATTTGTTGTGTGGACATAGATTTTTTGTTTCCTAAATTAGGTGCAATATTTGTGAAACTTGCTCAAATGAAAAGTGGTGCAATTCTTGAAAAACGCAAGAACTATAATTAATCTATCCCTTTAGACTATGAAATTGTAAGCAAAATAAGTCATCAATAACTAAAGCCTAGTCTTCTCATTAGCTTCACACCAAGCACAACCGCACCAGCTTGGTGCAATTCTTGAAAAACGCAAGAAGTATAATTAATCTATCCCTTTAGATTATGAAATTGTAAGCAAAATAAGTCATCAATAACTAAAGCCTAGTCTTCTCATTAGCTTCACACCAAGCACAACCGCACCAGCTTCTACCAGAATCGAAGACCACCTAGCATCAAGACCCCCCAACGCATCCCTTAACACAACACCAAAACTCATCCTTACACAGCAACTGTACTTACTCAAAACTGTAATACATAGTACGTGTTGAAAATATGATGTTGTAACCATGAAAATAATAGAGAAATTAGGGCAAAAGTACAATACCCAATTGTAGATCTCATATAAGCTGTGACGCATTTTACGGCTGCCCTAGAAGCGTATTTCGCCGCCACCGGTACGAGGCTCTCAGTGACGATTGCTCCCCAAGGGTAACACAACTACCTTCCAAATCCATACCCCAATTGAAAGGTTGGAATTACTTCAAAAAAATGCTCAGATCTCTATGGGAATGGCTTTTGTGTTTATTGTGTTTACGGGTTCACAATATTCTGTGCATTTTGGATATCCAAAAATAATAGGCTCAAAGGTATTTATAGTTATGAGGGAAAAACGAAACAAGTCGTATAAACCGACTCGCATCCCCGCCAAAACTAGTGTCCGCAGCCTAAACCTGTGGGTCTGACCTGCGCCTGGAAAAATTGATCCCTCGCCTGAATCCTGCACCCGTAGGAAACTTCGATCACGACAATGGTGTGGAGACGAGGGCTCAACTCCGTCTTAGGCTCAAACTTAAGCAATTGAACACCGTTTGCATTACACAATAATTCCAGCACATAGCTCACAAATCCATGTATAGGTAACACTGTTACGGCTTCATTGAGTTCCTTCTAGCTTTTTAATTTGCAAAATGCCATATTGTTTGGTTGGAAAAAATATTTGTGGCTCGATGAATGTGTATAATTATGAAAAATGCTATACATAAGCCTATATAAATAGATAAAAATGAAAAAAAACAAATAAAAATAACTTATCAATAAGCAAAGCCTAGTCCTATAAGTTAAATCAAAACCACCAACTACCTTGTAATAAATACAAACGTCCAATAAACGTCGTTAAGGCCAAAAAATCTAACTTCACTAACGGAGTCAGTAAGGTATATCAACAGTGATATAAGAGTTAAGATACAGGCCAGGTGTATGTCTTTAATGAGTTTAATCTGACTCATGGACAATAAAAAAGACGAGCTAGCAAAATTGATTGACAAAGTTTGTTAATTACTCCGTATAAAGATGGGCAAAGACCCGCGCCCAATTTATTTATTGGACGGATCTGAGGTTTTATAACAGGGGTAGTCATGGCTTTTGATGGGTCTCCAACCCATTAAACTGCTCTAATTACCAACAACAAAAACAATCCTCCTCTCTCTCAGTTTTCCATTGAAGCGCACTTCATTGAGGCGCCTCTTAACACTTGTATCCGCCATTGAAACAGCTTCTGAGGTAAGTTGTTTCTTTTTGTTAATCATCATATCATGGGTTTATCTTTGATCTTATTTTATTTAAATGTCAGTGCAGTAAGTTTAGGCTTTGAAAATTATTGGTTCTAATTACTAAGCTTATGAAAGATAAAAACTAGCGACTTTGTTCTTTGAAAAGAAAATTATGAGCCTTATTTATAGTTGAATCAAATTTGCATTTTTATCCCCAAGATTATGTGAGATTTTGAGCTTTATTTGATGAGGCAAAAGCTATCGAACGCCAATAAGCTAACTAAAAATAGAAATACTAAATTAAAATGAGCTCTAATTACATTGATTGACGCGTGATTTTAATGTATATTCCCAAATTAATATTACTTTAGGAAATATTTTAAATGCTTATCTAATGGTCTGATACGTTTATTAGCAAGATCCATTTGATAATTTAATCAATTTGGTTGCTAATGTATTGCGGAACCTTTTAATGTTACGATTAATTAGACCTCATTTAATGTTCCTATCTAAACAAACCGTATTGTAGAATTGAATGAATTTGTTAGGTGCCACAAATATTTAACTTAGGTGGTGTATTAACATAGATTTCATAAATATTTCCGTAATTTTAGGTGTAGTAGGCTAAACCCCTTGGTATTTACGTGCTACGTTACTTTCATCATAATGGCTTTTTAATCATCAAATGAAAAAAAAAAAAAAAAATGCTTGTAATTAATTATCAGGGTTGTGGAAAGCTAGAACCTAGAGGATGAAGCCAATTGTACTTCGAATTGTTAGTTGATTTATGCTATCAAACTTTAATTCTTTTTGTTTTTATTTAATAAATGATTTTGTTTTTGCACTCCCATTTGTTTAATTATTTTGATCTTCCAACGCAGAAAACTCAAAATGCAAATTAATGGCTTCTACCTAGCACTATGGCTTTTTGGATTTCTACTAATGACATTCAACTCCTCTAGTGGTATAGTTAATCGATCTATACTAGTTTCTGGTAACTAATTGCTACTCCCTCCGTCCCATTATTATTAAATGTCTGTTTTTCTAATTGGATATCTCAAAATTAAATATCTATTTTTATTTTTGTTTCATGTACAATTACCTACAATACCCCCACTTTATATCTTTTAACATACTTCGTATTATATTTCCCTAAATGCCCTTTTAAATTGATGCATGCCCACATATACTTCACACATGTAATTCATTTGATTATCATTGAATTTCAGCACTTGTTTGTGTCATAGTCCTCATAGACATTGATAAGAATGGTCCTATGCCTTTCTTAATCTATTTGCATGTTATAAATGGCTATCTCGTGGATGTAGTAAGTAGTCGGTTCTCAAGGCATCATAAATTGTAGTTCCTTTGAATAAGTTTGTGTTTTGATACTTAAGTTCTATTTAACTTCAACTCTACAATATATCTTAAATACATGTGCTGGATACTAAACATCCTTACAAGAATATGTTATTCTGATACAAATATACAAAAGTATAAGAGAAGGGGTGAACTGTAGTATGGAGCTTGTTTGCAGAATTGAAAGGAACATAATGTTGGATAGAAAAATAATACAAGAGAAAATTCACTAGGAAAATATCCTAAGCTTGATAGCTAATGGAGCTTAAACTTTCCGCTATAATGGACCGACAACTCCCTTACACCTTTAATTCTCTCCTACGAACTCAAGCTCCCTTTAATAACAAGAATTTCACTCAAGTTTCCACTCCAATACAAGGGTTCACTCAATGCCCTTGAACAATTGCTAAATACGAAGTATAATATATACTACCTCCGTTACATATTAGTTGCAATTTTGGGGTATTATTTGTGAGACATAAAATATTCCAAAGTTGCAATTAATATGTAACGGAGGTAGTAAATAGTTTAACACTAACCTGTTGGGCACTAGAAAGCAATCAAACACTAATTTGTGTATGGTATTTGTCCTTGTTTGAGTTCCTCCTAGATTCCTATATGGTTATATGCTGTAATTTAATGCTCTGGTAATTTCGCTGCATACTTGCATTATTGCCTTAATGTGTTTGTCTCAAAACCTGCATGGTGTGAAAACCTGACAATGTGTAAAGGAAGTCTTATATTCTTTGTTGTATACGACTATACGAGTATGTGTGGACTATTGTAGCAATCTTGATTTATTTATATCATTACAGTATTGAGAATGAACTTGTTACACACTCTCGACTCTCCCCTAAATTCCTATCACGATGTATTACACTTTCGCTAGGGCTTTTTGGTTCACCTAGTCACCAGAATATAAAGTGCACCAGTCTTTCTGATGCTGCACTGAAAGACTGGTGCATTTGGTTTGGTAGCCTTATATTTACAAATCACAGCACCAAAGCAGAATTTGCAAATTATGACACCAAAGCTAAGTTACCTGACTTTAATTTCAAGCCATAATAAACAGCGTTTTGACTGCAGAATTTTAACAACGAGCCATAGCTGTATTTCAAAGAGCACCAGAAATGCACCTTGCTAGTAGTCATTTCCACCCCAAAAATACATAATATTAAGACACCAATTATTAATTCTGATAACTTCAACCCATTATATCCTGTTTCTGTATTATATTCATCATTATATCAGCTTTACAGGCGTGATGTTAGGCGATACCAATACAGTGACAACAACGATAAGAAGTAGATATCTGAAGGTAACAATTTCTTTGGTATACCAGCGTTGTTACGTTACCTGTGTTTCTGACTGGTTGAGCAGCCATTTCTTGCTCTTTTCAGTTTAACATAAGTATGTGCTTCCCTGTTTTGCAGGAAAACAGATTTGGTTTCATCTTTGCTCAGGGAAATTCAAATGGTGATGTGAACTTGGAAGACTATGGCCCTGTTGATCCGAGCCCAAGTCAGGCTTCTATAGATCATGGACCTATTGAGCATGGCTCTCCTTCACATCCTTACATTCCAAAACCAAAGCCTCCACCACCGGCTCCTATTCCCTCTAGACCATGATGGATCGCCATAACCTTTGAAAGTCGTCAGCAGTCAGTTTAACTGTATTCTTTTCAGTTTCCACGAATGCCCAATGTATATCTCCTTCAAGTGTAACATTTACTAGTACTAGTATTTCAGAAACAATATGAAAATATTTTCTGTAATAACCCTATGAATGGTAGATCAGGTGATCTAATTTTCTTATGATCAAAACTATTATTACTTGACTCATTAATCATTCTTAGGCATCTTCCATATTAAGTCCTAACAACGCACAAGTACGGACTGCGGAGTCCATAGTAGATCAGGCGTTATGATTGACGATAGCTATACAGTTTGTATCAATGTTTTTTAAAATAGACAAAAAATTATTATATATTACAAATCATGGATCGCACGAATGCTAACAATGTAAAAGTACGGACTACGGAGTTAATATTTATTCTCGAAACAATTTCTTATACGGTAAGTTATAATTTGAAAAGTATCTTAAATATTTTTTTGCTTTAGTAAAAAAAACTGTTACTTAAAAGTTGAAATACGAGCATTTTGATTAGAAATAATACATAGAAGAAACAAAGAAAAGAATCCAAAGAAGAATTGAATAGGCCATTGCATGGTGTCTAGAAAACATAGAAACACGACAACATTTGCAATTCGCCAATATGCACTAGTCCCAAACCACGAATCCACGATATAGAAGAAAAAGAAAGGTCTGCAAGCCTAGACGTGTGTCACTTTCACACAGCACAGCAATACATAGCATGGCCTACTCCAAATAATTGTGCTTCTATTCAATTTCATTTTTTTATCATTCTCCAATTCATTCTATTGGTTTGCTTTTATAGAAAATCTCCCGAGCATGAAATCAAATTGGTTATCCGAATTTGGCAATACATACTACATTCCCTCTCTTATTATCCACCACTATGCCCATCATCTAGCCACTTCCAACTTGTACCGGATTAGCGCGCATCAGTTCGCAGTGGCCAGATTTTTGCTGTAATCTTGTCGGTTAGAGGTAAGTTTACCATTTAATACGAATCTAATAATACCTCACTTAATTATACGAGTATTAATTATTTATGGTCAAAGTTTTGCCATTTAATAATCGAGACACTTTAGTCATAACTTCTAATACTTTAGTATGGCTTAGGTTTATTTGCTTTTAATACTTGTAGTTAATGATTGAATTGTGGTAATTTGGTGTAATAATTGTTTTGTGATGGTGTTATAATATACGGAGTATTGTAATTTCATAACCATTGATGTTGGATTCAAGAGGTGGCGTTTTTAGTAAAGTGAGGCATCAACTTTATATTGGATGTTCATTCCTTGTATTGCAAATTTTTCTGATTGGGTTTTAGATGCATTCCGTTGAAGAATCATATGTACTTCCTCCATTTTCCAAATATTACATCAAAAATAAAATCTAACAAGTCATTACAAAAATATAGTTTTTGTTCAATGTAATCACGAAATGTTAGTTGGTTTATTAACTTAGGTTTCATAACCTTTGTCACCATTTATTGTTTTCTATGTAAATGGGACTGTATTGTATTGAATTTGTTAGGTGGTGTAATAACTTAGGTTTCATACTTTCATGAATATTTCCGCATTTTTAGGTGTGGTAGGCTAAAGTGTTAAACCCCTTAGTATTAACTTTCATCATAACGGATTTTTAATCATCAAATGAAAAACAGAGAATATGCTTAGCTTGTAATTATCAGGGTTGTGGAAAGCTAGAACCTAAAGGATGAAGCCAATTGTTGTATTGTTAGTTGAATCGCGCTATCAAGATTTGTATTTTCAAATTTATATATGTATGATTTCGTATTTGCACTCCCATTTGTTTAATTATTTTGATCTTCCAACGCAGAAAACTCAAAATGCAAGTTTATGGCTTCTGCCTAGCACTATGGCTTGTTGGAGTTCTACTAATGACATTCAACTTCTCTAGTGGTATAGTTAATCGATCTATATTTGTTTCTAGTAACTACTTTTACTTCATATTTTGCATGATAATGAGATTTGGAGATGAAACATCATAATATGCCCTCTGTTTGTCCATTTGAAGCACTAGATTGTGCTCTATCACAACGAAAACTTTGTGTAATTTGTGTTTAAGTTGTTGTAAATGATCTTTCTTTGATGTAGGTATGGGAACTTCATTCCTTGTTAGTAGTCTGCGTTCTTTGATTAACTTGGTATTGATTTTCCTTTTAGTTGAAAATTCAGTTGTTTGTGTCGTATACATTGATAAGAGTGGTCCTCTGCCTTTTTAAATCACTTTGCATCCAAATAAATGACTAACTCATGGATGTACTTTGTAGGGGTTCCTGAGGCAATTTGTAGTTCCTTTGAATAAATTTGTGGTTTGATACTTACATTCATGTGTTGGGCAACAACTCTTAAAAGGATATGTAATTCATTATTGCCAAATTTAGTATGGAACTTGATTGCCCAATTTAGCGGAATTGAAAGGAACTTAAAAGCTAGGAAGAAAAATAATGCAGGAGAAAATTTACATCCTAGGCTCAATAACTAATGAAAAACCTCAATCTTAAGAGATTTTGACTCAAACTTTCCACTATAATGGGCCAACGGCTCCATTACTCTTGAGTCTCTCCTACGAACTCAAACTCCCATATTCAACAAGAACTCACTCTAGAGGGTTCACTAAAAGCTTTTGAACAGTGGCTAATGCTTGTTTGGATAGCAAAAAAGGAATGAAAGAAAGGAAGGGTAGGGAAAGAGGAGGAATGGGAGCGAAGATAAAGGGAGAGGAAAGATGAGCTCCATTTTCCCTCCAAATCTCTCCATTTTTGGAGGAATTATGCTTATTAAAGAGAGCGAAAATAGATCCCTCCCTCTCCTTTCCCTTCCTCCCCCCAATTTTTTATCCAAACAAGAGAAATTTTCCTCCTCCCCCTCCTCTTCTGTTCCTTCCATTTAACAGTTTAACACTATATTGTTATAACACTAATATGTTAGGCACTAGAAAGCAGTTTAACACTAATTCGTGTATGTTACTTGTACGTGATTGAGTTCCTCCTAGAGTCCTATATAGTTTATATGCTGTAACTTGCATCTCTGATAATTTAGCTACATACTTGCATGTATTCCTTGTGTTGGTCTCAGAAGTCAGAACATGCATGGTGTGATAACTGGACAATAATCTGGCTAAATAATTTCTTCATTAAAATATAGTGCACCAGTCTTTAGATGATACACTTGGTTTGCTAGCCTTGAATTTGCAAATCACAACACCAGAGCTGAATTTACAAATCATGACACCAAAGCTAAGTTACCTCGACTCTAATTTCAAGCCAAAGGGTGCTTTGGCTGCAAAATTATAACAACAATTGGAATTTTAAATAGCACCAGAATTGGAAACATCTTGCTAGCTAGTAGTCATTTCCGCCCCTTACATCAGCCTTATTATGTTCATCATTATGATAACATATCATCTTTACAGGCATAATGGTTGTCGATAGCAATACAATGACAACGACAAGTAGAAATCTGAAGGTAACAACTTCGTTGGTATACCGCTTTGTTAACCTGTGTTTTCTGACTGGTTGAGCAGCTGTTTCTTGTTATTTTAGTTTTAATCACAAATAACATATGTACTTCTCTGTTTTGCAGGAAATCAGATATGGTTTCAAGTTTGCTCAGGTAATTTCAGATGGTGACGTGAGCTTGGAAGACTATCGCCCTGTTGATCCAAGCCCAAGTCATTCCAAGGCTTCTGTAAAACATGGACCTATTCAGCATGGTGCTCCTTCACATCCTTACATTCCAAAACCAAAGCCTCCGCCTCCAGCTCCTAGTCCCTTTGACCATGATGGATCGCCTTAACCTGTAAAAGTCGTCAGCTTAGCATCTGATCTTAAGAAAGGTAAAAAAAAAAAACATAATGTTGTCTGATATTTTGATGTTTGTATTCTTTTCACGGATGCCTAATGTATATCTCCTTCGAGTGTAACATCTACTTCAGAAACAATTTGAAAATATGTTCTGTACTAACCCTATGGCTGGTAGATCAGGTGATCTAATTTGCTTATGATCAAAATTCATAGTTACTTGACTCATTATTCATTCTTAGGCATCTTCCATAATCAGTCCTATACTCATATATATCTGCACTCAGTAGTATGTTCTCGTCTCAATTAAATGAATGGGCTAATAGCTTTAAGTTTGTAATCCTATGAACTTTTCAAGCTATAGTATAATATTTATCGTTTCTAGAACAGGGCAAGAAGAGGATTGAGTGAGCAATGTAAAGCATAGCTTGTTACAGAATAAGCATAAGTATGCTTCCTAAGTTTGACATAATCAGTTCTATTTGACAGAGTTATAAGACAGCTTAAACATTAGCGAGATGGCACAAGTACAACTATTTATAAGGTTACAACGGTATAAACTGTAAACCTAATTCAGGCTCTATGATTCACTGGATAAATACTTGTATACAGTATATATATGATCATAAGATACATTAATAATTACAGAAGATGATATCGAAGATTTTTAATTGCATGATAATGTTTGATATGATAACACCAAGATATACCTCTTAATATCTTTAACACTATTGACCCAAAATAAGTTGAAATGTTGTTTAAGGTATGGTGTGATCCTGAAATCTTTGATAATTATTTATATACCTTTTAGTTTGTACAATGCAAATTAATGGAACTTTAAAAGCCAAAAAGAGTACAGAATAAGGTAGGAAATTCGTATTATTTTTTCAAATGACTTAATTACTTCATACGAAGTATTAAGTAATACCAATATGAAATTTGTACTACTTAATATGAAGTAATTAAGTAATTTGAATAAAATAATAATAAGTAAAAACAATCTGGACAGGCGAATTTTCAACACAACAAATGCCTATTTCCAGTAAACTTTTTTTTAGCATTTACATCATAACCATAGATAATTTCCACATTATCATTATTATAAACTACAGTTAAGAGGCTTAAAGCCAGAGCACTATATTGTACAAATTTGCAGGATTTCACTAATTTTAAAAACTATATAACAAATTTAAACAAAGAGAAAGAATATTCTCAAACTAAGTCAACCAAAATCATATTTTCTCTCTCAAAGAATACTAGTCCAACTATCAATCATAAATAATACCAACACCACCACTACTACCACTTTCTCTCAAACCGAATGGCTTCACAAGAACAACAAGTGCTAGGGCTCTAAGACGAGGGTCCCACGTGGCACAACCTATTAGGGTCCCGTAACTGGGAAGGTCTTCTAGACCCACTCAACGACGATCTCCGTCGTCTGATCATCCAATGCGGCGACTTTTGTCAAGTCACCTACGACACCTTCATCAACGACCCTAACTCTGCCTACTGTGGCAGCAGTCGCTACGCCAAGTCAGACCTTTTAAAAAAAAACCGCCTTCCCTGGTGGTTCGAACAAGTATGATGTCGTAGGGTTTTTGTATGCCACGGCTCGTGTTAGTGTTCCTGAAGCGTTCCTATTCAAGTCTATGTAGCGTGAGAGGTGGGAAAGGGAGTCTAACTGGATTAGCTATATCGCGGTTTCGAATGATGAGGTGAGTCAAGAGATGGGGAGGAGAGAAATATATGTAGCATGGAGAGGGACTACAAGAAATTATGAGTGGATTAATGTTCTTGGTGCTAAACTACAGTCTGCTAAGTCTTTGCTTGCGGAAGGATGTCATGGTAAGACTTAAGAGCATTATTTTTTGGATGAATTTCTTTTTAGCATTTACATTGGATATACGACGAAATGAACAAAATTCCAAAAGTCAAGTAAAAAAAATGTCTAACCATTTAATTTTATTGCAAGTATTTTACTCATATTAATGGATTACAATAAATTAAAAAAAAAAAAAAAATAAATAAACCTTTAGTTTTGTATAACTAGTTAGTAAATAAGATACTCCGTACATTTTATCACCTTAATATCCTGGCAACAGATAGGTTTCTCTTGACTCTAATTTTTCCTATTATGGTTTTTAATTACAGCCTTAAATTCTAAATTTGCCCTTAAAAAAGAAATAAAGGTGTGATGGATAATTGGCTAATGTGTCAATATTATCTGGCATAGACAAAGATAAATAGACAATAATGTAAGAAAATATGGCCACAGTTTTAGCTACTTTGGCTTTAGTGTTTGCATTGATAGGAGATTAAACTTATAATGAGAGATTTCATGAAATTTTTTACTGTTGAATTTTTTTTATGCTTGTATTATAAAAATATTTTGTTTTATATGTATGTTTAAATTTTCAAACATAGCTTTAATTAGATTTAGTGACAGAGAGAAGACAAAGTGATAGACAATTTTGATAAGTAGTAATTAAGGAAAATTTTAGTGAAGGTGAAAAGTTCTAATTATGGTGTGTTCTCTTCATTTAAATTTATTTGAACATAACCAATTAGATTCAATTTTCACCTTATACGTAGACCTGAGTTATTTGCCTTGTAAGGTTACCCTTACTTAGCCCTATAGAAGCCTCTACCATCTTTAATTAATACGACTTTAGTTATTACTGCATATGCTAAAAATACAACTCTTAAAAAAGTGAAAATTCAAAATGGAGTAAGCTTTAATGGACAAAGGAAACATTAAAGTGGAGGAAGTATTAGAATAACTATAAATTAATACCATAATACAAATTTAATTAGCGTTCTTTTAAAAACAAAAACAGCATTATGAAATGTCATTGGCGTTGGCCTACCTCATTGGTACTTTTTTACCTGTTAGTTTGGGTCGTTATCATGGCATGGCTGCTAGTTCCTACTCCTCACGTTTTTGAAGAATCATACAAGTTTAAAATATCTTCAAACATTTATAATATCCACATGACAAGATATTTTCCTTCTAAATGTGAAATTAAATTTATCAAGTGGTAAAATTATGCTGAAAGGTTGGTAAAAGTTGTCTGTTTTGGTTGAAAAAGCACTCGTTAAAACAATATGGTTTCACATCTAGCTAGCAGTTGAAAATTTGAAGGTGATGAAATTTTCAAATTTAGCTGATTAAATGAAATGCTTTTTAAAACTAGCTACTCCGTATTTCAATACTCTGAATTTCTTAAGATTTAGATTGATAAAATAAATTTTTAGTAGCTATTTTGAAATGATAATCAGAATAACATTTTGATTTAAATGTTATTTAAGGTGCTTGTGAAATAGTGCTTGTTGTCCCGTAAAAAAAAAAAATAAATAAACAAATAAAAAAAAATTAAAAAAAAAAAAAAAAAAAAACAATGGTGTCTTATATATCCAACTTCTTATCATTTTAAACGCTACTTCCGCCGTTTTTTAAGTGCATCATACCCTTGGGCACATAGTTTTAGGTAAAAGAATAAAATATTATATAAGTGGGTATGATTAGGAATAAAAAATTTGAAAAAGTAAGATTATGAATGGGTAGGGCTATCAAACAGGTCGTGTCGGGTTTGTGTTCGGGTCGATGTTAAACGGGTTGAAAAACCCTTGACCCAAACCTAACCCGTTTAATAAACGGGTTAAAAACCCTTGACCCAAACCTAACATGCTTATTAAACGAGTTACCTAGATAACCTTTTACCCACATAGTATGTATAAACTAATTAATATTCGATTCAAAAATAAAAAGGACAGACATCATTAATTCATTAAAGATACTACTACAGTTTAAAGTTAGTAGTTGTAGCAAAAGATACCACAAAGGTTTAAAACTAGTAGTTTTAACAATACAACCATACATAAAAAATTATCTCAAATTAACCACCAAATTAAATTTTAATTTACAAAAGATGGAAAATTATAATTTTTTCGCCAAATCAACAGCAAAAAAATTACCAAAATGTATACGGTGTCAAGGTAATTTACAAAATTACATGGTTTGAAAAAAAAAATTCTGTTTTTTACTACTTAATTGATAGATTAAGCGTGTCGGGTTCGGGTTGAAAATTTCAACTCAAACCTAACCCGTTTAATTTCATATCGTGTTCGTGTCAACCCAATTATATAAACAGGTCGAGAATTCTTGACCCAAACCCGCTTATTTCGTGTCGGGTTCATGTTGGGTTCGTGTCGTGTCACCTTTTAACAACCCTATGAATAGGGACCACTAGGAATGATGTGAGAAAGAGAAAAAATTATAAAATGATAATGGGGTTAAAAGAAAGAGAGAGAAATAATATATAATATGAGTATGGTTTCCACTTTTAGGACCAAGTCACTTAAAAAAAACAGTTATTTATGAAAAGTAAGGCACTTAAAAAAAACCCAAAGGGAGAAAAACTTTAATTACCGTGGGTAATTAAATTCCTACCGAGTTGGAATTCCTCATAGGTCCAGATTAGCTTAGACAGTTTAAGAGCCGGGGAGGAGAAAGGCAAAGGAAAATCCCTTGAGATTATGATTTGTACTTTGTAAGTGGATAGCATGTCGTGTCAAGAAAAAAACAAAACAAAAAAAGTGGATAGCACGTAACACCAAACTAAAAGAGCCACTAAATACACTAAAATCTATTTATTTTGTTTATATACGGAGCATTTAGCCATCTAGCACTCAACGAAGAACATATTATATTAAAAGTTTCATTAAAGTTCTTTTTTGCATTATAATGAAAAAGGTTCTCAGCAATATAGTCACTTTGAGCGATCAAGCTAAGGTCACTTTGAGCGAGAGTAGGAATTACTTTATCCTTTCTCCCCATTCTCAAATTGTCTAGCCTATTTATTCGAGTTGGTAGATATATGTATCGCTTTATGAGAGGTTTCACAATGACAAGTCAGTTCTTCTTACTAACCAGGGAATATAAATACTTGTAGCAACATATTCACCCTAGGAAGACTAGTAGACATTTTTTTGTCATTTATTTACCTATGTCAAGTTATATTTGATACATTATTTCTAATTCTTTTAGTTTTTCAAAAGACCACCATGAGAACGGAGATGATGAGAATGATGATGATGAAGGCGAACATAGGAAGCCCAAAGTTATGCAGGGTTGGCTTACAATTTACACATCCGACGATCCAAAATCCCCCTTCACAAAACTTAGTACAAGAGCACAACTCCTAAACAAGATCAAACAACT